CGATTTATCATGCAAAATAACTGTGAAAACATAGCCCTAGATCCTTCACCTGGAAGAAAGCAGTTTGCAATGATGATCAGTACTTTGATCAGAATCGTGTTGGCCATGGAAAACACAAAAAGTCAAGGGTATCGCTGTTAATTTTCTTGAAAATGTTGCTGCAAAACTTGTAACGTTCAATGAACGTGGTCGCGTTTGTATAAGTAGGACAGGCCTAAAATACCCATCAAAGACGCCACACGAACAAAGAAGTCATTTATTACAACTCATGCGCCATTAATGTAACAACTACTTGAAAGGGCAGTGTTTTGTACCATTTGCGCAAGACCCAGGTTTATATCGGGACGACTGCTGTTCATTTTTTTTTTCAGTAAGTAAACCTAAAAGCAGACAGAGCTCTTCAGAAGGACAATTCTAAGTACGAAACCGCGTATAACTTCGGCAAAACACATACTATTTAAACATAAATCAAAACTTGTCAGTGATGGCCATGCTCTTTTAAAGAGTCAATAGCCCTTATGTATGTACGTTTGTTCTGGAATATCTTCTTGGTCGAGGAGCTAAAAGCATTTTGGCCTCCAAATGTATATTAAAATAAAATTACCTTTACCTACCCTTACTACTGATATTGAGCAAAACAAACCAGCGTAGGAAACATGATGTCAGCGAGTCTTCTGATGTATCTTCGTTGTTTTATACGAACTACATAACCTGCGTTACCAAGTGGACTTTAAAATTTAAGTTTCACTAAATATTCACCTGCTCTTTAAGGGCATTTATGCCTAAGCATGTTACTTCTTCTTAATCGTTTCAATATGTAACAAAGAAAAGGAAATCTTATAAAACCGTGCTGCTCTTGAAAGGCAGTTATGCCTAAGGCTGTATCTTCTTAAGAATCGTTTCAATATGTAACAAACAAAAGGAAATGTTACAAAACCGTGCTGAGTCCTAAAAGCAACTCTCCTTTGAGTACTTCGACGCAGTGCAATGGTTGACAAGCTTGTCTCGCTCAATCAATTAAATCTGAGTAGAGAGTTCTATATTTGCCGGATGCTCTTTCATCTTGACCCTGTGCCACATCTAAAGCAAAACTCCATTGACCTGAACTTCGAGGCATATGCCGGAGTCACCTGCAAAGGGGTGGAGTATACGTTTCTAAAAGAACGCACATCGTCTGTAAATATACATACATATATATATATATATATATATATATATATATATATATATATATATAGATAGATAGATAGATAGATAGATAGATATTTAAAGAGAAAATGTTCTAACGTATTCAGAATTGACCAATGACTGACAAGTGGTTACCCATCTAAGTACTGGGCAGGTTCAACGTTACTTAACTTTGGTAATCGTAAAAGAAGTTTGAAAGACATGAGGAGATAGAAGAAGTTAAAAAAAAGAAAAGAAAAGGAAAAACAGATAGATAGCTCGAGAGAGAGAGAGGAAGAATAAAGAAGATAGATAAAGAGAGAAAGAGGGAATAGAGAAAAGGAATAAAGAGAAAAAGTGTATTTTAATAGACTGAACATTGTACAATGACTGGAAGAGAGATAAGAAGAGAGAAAAACTGAAAAGAAGAAAGAAAGTGTAAAAGAAAGAGATGAAGAGTTAATCAGGGAGAAGAAAGAAAGAAAGAAAAGGAGAGTTAAATCATATCATCATATCATCGTCTATATCATTCTCTCTTCTAGAGAATGATATAGACGTATAAAAGAGAATAGGGAAAAAAACGGAATTTTTTTAATATATATATATATTGAAATTTAAACAGGGAATGGGTGATAAAATAGGAATGGCCAATATTGTAAAAATACGAAAGAGAGAAGAGACAAAAAAAGGAAAGTGATTGATTTGTTTTTTGTTTTTGTTGTTTTTTACAGTTTATCAACCCTTTGCGATTTATTTAAAGCTGAAACATATTTAGTATTGTAGAAGACAACTCAGTATTGACCGACTTCAACACTGCTTAACTTGGGAAATCGAATTTTTCAGCGTGAATACACCGTAAGCGAAAAGACGAGAGAGAGGAAGAGAAAAGAGAAGAGAAGAACTGAAAAAAAAAGAGAAAAAAGAGGTAAAAGAAATAGAGAATTAGAGAAGAAAATAGAAAGAGATAAAGAAAGATAAAAAAAATGAATAAAAAGAGAAGAGAAAATATCTCTTATTTTTTCTCCTCTCTTTATATTTATTCACCTTTTTGTTTTATTTTTTCGAAAGATAAGAGAAGTTATAAATGACAAAAAAATTAAAAAAGTTAAAAGATTATGTGAGAAAGATGAAAGAGAAAGAAGTAAAAGGAAAAAGAAAGAGGGAATGTGAGAAAGAGAAAAGGGAAAGAAAGTAAAGAAAAAGGAGAGAGGGAATGTGAAAAAGAGAAAAGGGAAAAAAGAAAAAAGAAAAAAAAAAGGGAGAGGGAATGTGAGAAAGAGAAAAGGGAAAGAAAGAAAGGAAAAGGAGAGGGAATAAAAGAGAAAGGGAAAAAAAGAAAGAAAGGAGAGAGGGAAAAGGAGAAAAGGGAAAGAAAGAAAAGGAGAGAAATGGAAAGAAAAGGGAAAGAAAAGGAAAAGGAGAGAGGGAATGTGGAGAAAGAGAAAAGGAAAGAAAGAAAGGAAAAAATGAGAGAGGAATGGGAGAAAGAGAAAAGGAAAGAAAGTAAAGGAAAAGGAGAGGGGAATGTGAGAAAGAGAAAAAAGAAAAAAGAAAAGAAAGGGAAAGAAAGAAAGGAGAGAGGGAAAAGGAGAGAGGAAAAGAAAAGGAAAAGGAAAGGGAAAGGAAGAGGAATAAAAAGAAAAAGGAAAGAAAGAGGGAAAAGGAGAGAAAAAGAGAAAAGGAAAGAAAGTAAAGGAAAAGGAGAGAGAGGGAAAGAAAGAAAGAGAAAAGGGAAAGAAAGTAAAGAAAAAGGAGAGAGGGAATGTGAGAAAGAGAAAAGGGAAAGAAAGTAAAGGAAAAGGAGAGAGGGAATGGGAGAAAGAGAAAAGGGAAAGAAAGTAAAGGAAAAGGAGAGAGGGAATGTGAGAAAGAGAAAAGGGAAAGAAAGTAAAGGAAAAGGAGAGAGGGAATGGAGAAAGAGAAAAGGGAAAGAAAGTAAAGGAAAAGGAGAGGGAATGGGAGAAAGAGAAAAGGGAAAGAAAGTAAAGGAAAAGGAGAGAGGGAATGTGAGAAAGAGAAAAGGAAAGAAAGAAAGGAAAAAGGAAAGGGAATGAGAGAGGGAAAAGGAAGAAAAAGGAAAAAGGAAAGAGGGGGAAAGAAAGAGAAAAAAAGAAAGGGAAAGAGAGAGAGGGAATGGGAGAAAGAGAAAAGGGAAAGAAAGTAAAGGAAAAGGAGAGAGGGAATGGGAGAAAGAGAAAAGGGAAAGAAAGTAAAGAAAAAGGAGAGAGGGAATGAGAAAGGGAGAAAAGGGAAAAGAAAAAGGGAAAGAAAGAAAAGGAGAGAGGGAGGGAATGAGAAAGGAAAGAAAGAGAAAAGGAAAAGAAAAGGGAAGGAAAGGAAAGGAGAGAGGGAATGTGAGAAAGAGAAAAGGAAAGAAAAGTAAAGGAAAAGGAGAGGGAATGTGAGAAAAGAGAAAAGGGAAAGAAAGTAAAGGAAAAAGGAGAGAGGAATGTGAGAAAGAGAAAAGGAAAGAAAGAAAAGGAAAATGAGAGGGAAAGAAAGAATGAGAAGGGAAAGAAAGAAAAGGAAAATGAGAGGGAAAGAAAGAATGAGAAGGGAAAGAAAGTAAAGGAAAAGGAGAGAGGGAATGTGAGAAAGAGAAAAGGGAAAGAAAGTAAAGGAAAAAGGAGAGAGGGAATGTGAGAAAGAGAAAAGGGAAAGAAAGTAAAGGAAAAGGAGAGAGGGAATGTGAGAAAGAGAAAAGGGAAAGAAAGTAAAGGAAAAGGAGAGGGAATGAGAAAAAAAAGAGAAAAGGGAAAAAAAAGAAAAGGAAAGAAAGAAAAGGAAAAGGAGAAAAGAAAAGAGAAAGGAAAGAAAGTAAAAATGGAAAGAGAAAAGAGAAAGAAAGAAAGAAAAGGAGAAAGAAAAGAGAAAAGGAAAGAAAGGAAAGGAAAGGAGAAAGGGAAAAGAAAGAGAAAGAGAGGGAAAAGAAAAGGAAAGAAAAAGAAAGAGAGGGAATGAGAAAGAGAAAAGGGAAAGAAAGTAAAGGAAAAGGAGAAAGGGAATGAGAAAGAGAAAAGGGAAAAAAGTAAAGAAAAGGAGAGAGGGAATGGGAAAAGAGAAAAGGAAAGAAAAGAAAGAAGAAAAGGGAAAAAGAGAAAAGGGAAAGAAAGGAAAGAAAAGGAGAGAAATGGGAGAAAGAAAAGGAAAGAAAGGAAAAAGGAAAAGAGAGAAAAAAAAGGAGAAAGAGAAAAGGAAAGAAAGAAAAAGGAAAAGGAGAGAGGGAATGAGAAAGAGAAAAGGGAAAGAAAGAAAGGAAAAAGAGAGGGAAGGAAATGGAAAGAGAAAAGGGAAAAGAAAGAAAGGAAAAAGAGAGAAAGGAAAAAGGAGAAAGAGAAAAATGGGAAGAGAAAAAGAAAGGAAAAAAGGAGAGAGGGAATGTGAGAAAGAGAAAAGGAAAGAAAGTAAAGGAAAAGGAGAGAGGGAATGGAGAAAGAAAGAAAAGGGAAAGAAAGTGAAGGAAAAGGAGAGAGGGAATGGAGAGAAAGAGAAAAAGGAAAGAAAGAAAGGAAAAGGAAAAGGAAAGAAAGAAAGAAAGAAAGAAAAAAAAGAAAGAAAAAAAAAAGGAGAGAGGGAATGTGAAAGAGAAAAGAAAGAAAAGGAAAGAAAGAAAAAGGGAAAAAGTAAAGAAGAGAGGGAATGAGAAAGAAAAAGGAAAGAAAGTAAAGGAAAAGGAGAGAGGGAATGAGAGAAAGAGAAAAGGGGAAAGAAAGAGAAAAGGAAAAGGAGAGAGAGGAAATGAAAGAGAAAAAGGAAAAAAAAAGGGAAGGGAGAGAAAGAGAAAAAAAGAAAGAGAGAGAGGAAATGTGAGAAAGAGAAAAGGGAAAAGAAAA